TTGGAGCACGTGGCGCGCGGTGGTGCATCAATTTGCTGGTAGGCGCGGCGAAGGAAGAGACGGAGACAGACGGACTGGCCGACGGACAGAGAGCCAGCCCGGCAGGCTGACAGATATAGAGAGAGAGAGAGAGATGGCGCTTTGATGTGCCGACTTAGACCTGACAAACTTCTCTTGACGGGGTTGTTCATGTTTGAGGTATTCCAGATTAAGGTATTCCAGATTGGTGTCCGAACCTGTTCAAATCATCTGTCCACTGACGGACCCACCCCGTACCCTTGGCTTTCGTCTTCGTAATCCCCCGATATGGCCGCCCCTCGGAGGCATCGTCTTCGGCACCTTGAATCCAGCCATCCCTCTCTTGGCAGCTGTGAACTTCGTGGTGTGCCGTGCCTCGGAGAATCTCTGTCGCCTTGTCGACATGGGTGACGAGTGAGGTGACGAGTGGTGACGAGCTCGACCTTGGGTGGTTTTCTGTTTGAATGTGCAGCTCTTGGCTTCTGGATTCTGGAATCTACCATCTACTTGCAAAAAACTCTAGAGACTCTTGATCGTGCATGTGAGCCACCCTCAAAGCCTGAGATAAGCTGGATGTAGCTTTCGATTCTTCACTGGTAGACTCATGGGTTTACATATCATATGTGAAGTTTTCGAAGCTGCAAAACACAAAAGCACCTTTGGCTCAGGGGTTGACCTTTGGAGTCAAGATCAAAGACTCACGTGTGCAAAGGAACCCATGGATCTAAACAGACAAAACCAAACCGAAAACCTCAGATAGATCCAGGATTAATCTTGTAAAATGGATTGGACTCTCCATGGGTCTCCCCAGAAGCGACTCGCTGTTGTTCCATAGTCACTCCGTTTTCCCAACGTGGGTGGATTTGCACACCTGGTCCGTTGCTTCAGAGAAGCACTCGGTCAAGTGAGGCAAGTGTACCAGAAGTCGAAACCTCGAGTCAGGGACCCCCCCTGTGCGGAAGCCCTGACCGAAGTCAAGGTCAAATAAATGACCTGACTCACCAACATGGAAGGGAAAACCACCTGTTTCTTAGAGGAGAATAGTCATCCGACATGGGCCATCTTCATCCATTGCCCACTTCCGTTGCTGATGTGTTCGTCAGAGTGTGAAGAAACCAAACGCAAGAACGCACGCAGAGACCCGAACAGGAGCCGTGTATGGCTATTTGATCGTGGCGGCAGAGACCCGAAAGCCTGACCTGGGTGGGAACTTCTGGGTCATGAACATGACGCTTGGTCTGGCCTTGTACGACCGGGGAGACATGCTGTTTCTTCCGATGCGCGTTTCTGGGGCCTGGTTCTGGAGGGTGAGCTGGTTCTGGTTCCAGAACGCACGGCGCGTTTCGCCGGGAAAGGGCCGGAACAAGTGAAAGTGGATGTTTGTGGAGGGGAAATCCTCCGCACAGGATGAGTAGTTGTCTTAGGATCATCTCTCAGAAAGCCATCTTGACGTTTGGCTGTGAGAGAAGCTGCTGTGAACTTCACAGCCTGAGAAGGGTTTTTCGTCCGAGAACTGCAGGGTGGGTCGAGCACCACCAGGTCGCCAACGGGGTAGAACAAAAGGCATCAAAGGACTATGTGTATATTTGTGTATTACATGTTGTATCTACTGCAGTATATATAATGTATCAGCCGCTTGACCCCGAGAGTTTTCGCAAATTGGTTTGGGTGTTCACTAAAGATGCTTTGTTCAGCAGCCAAGTATTGGGCCACAGACGGGGATTCCTTCGGATCGATCGTAGATGTTGGAATTGGCTAAGGAGGCACGTCTTGATTGGCACCATGCTCTACTGCATTCTCATGACTGGTGTTTTCCTTGACCGTGCACCCACGGTGGTGCCTGCCGCCCGTGGCCCCAGTGTTGGCCTTTTCAACCAGCGGCCAAGTGAAGGGAGGATTATCCTCAACGCGAATGATCAAACATCTAAGAGTTGCAGACTCGTGCTTAGTAGGGAATGAGGAAATGAACCACCCCTGTAGACCCCTCAGGATCCATTTCCTTATTCCCTACGAGTCGCACCAGTCAGGTTGCATGAACATATTACTTCTTATGACAGTGTGTCAGTTGGATCAGTACATCATCCACGACGCTGGTCAGCTCGTTTTGGTATTTGTGCATTAAGTATGATTCAGCCAATTGCCGGCGACAAAGTACTAACACAATCAAAGCTGATCACACCAACATGGATCACACGCAAAGTTAGAAGAGCTAGCTGTTCCTGTCGTACGCGTCCCGTCGTACGCGTTTACGCCGCGGCCGCCTCCCGGCGGTCGGCGTGCCGTTTGAGCGACGACCGAGGCCGTTTCGGTGACCTGCTTGATTTGGATTATTCAGTCCTACAACCATTTCCAGCAGCATTTCCGTTGGGAGGCGAGACCGGGTGAGAAAAACGACACCATGGTGCGATCCAAGTTCGGAAGGGAAGAGAGGGAGGAGAGCAGCTTAGAGCGGTTCATGGTCCTGAAAGCTGCTTGCGCAGGCTGCTTCCTCTCCAGCAGAAGATGAACTAGAAGAAGAAACAAAGGGCTTTTCTAGCACAAAAGAATTTATTTTATGCCTTTTATATGATTTTATATGTTCGTGCCAGCGTTGAATCTTTGATTATCTTTGATTGTTATGATTTGTCATCATCAAATGTGGCTGTGGCCGGCCTAGCCGCCTTGGTCTCTCTTCAGACATCCCCCCTGTTCAATCTCTTTCCGGATGCCCGAGTCGTTCAATTCTTGGCAAGGCGAGTCCTTCGCATGTCCCGATGATCAAATGTCACTCCAAGGGTAAAAGTGGAAGAATTCAATGCTTTGGACATCACCGATCAGAGGAGGTCCCTGGACCCAAAGTCACCATTGTCGCCCCTCGCCCCGCCTCGTTCGTGAGGCCTTGCCTTTTGTCGAGATGATGTACAAAGACAAGGAGGGACAGTTACAAGATGTTGCAAGTACTTACCCTGGTTTTGCTTAAGGACTTTTGTTTTCCCTATATGGTTCAATCCCCATACCTGGGGCCTGGGGAAGATGTGCATGTTTTCCAGGGTTCCTGACAGCAAATCCAAGCTACTGCTCAACGGCCTCCATCAGCGGCCGCTTCTTTGGGCCTTTCTTCAGCTACCACCGACATGGGAGTGTTGTCCATTCGACTACTGTGGTCCAACCTCCATATGCCTGCATGATCCTCCAGTGATGATAGTGATGATTCGGTATGATCACGCTGGACATGACCTTTCTATGCTAGCGCTGCGCACTGCAGTCTCGGCTGTTTCCGCAATCTTTCGTGCCTATGGTTGCAAAAAAAGGGTTTGCGTTTGGATGGTTGCTGTGCCAGGACATGATTGCTGCTGCCGCTGAGGAGGCAGAAGAGAGCTTTGAGCAGCAACTTTGGCTGAAAGTTTCTCTCATCAATGATGCTGCTGAAAACCTGCAAGAGATCCCCCTATTAGACATGGAGAAAACTGATCACAGGGTTGCTCAGCCATGCTCAGCCTATGATCACTCACGTGTGGGGGGAACAGATGGTTATATACAAGCCTGAAAATCCCAAATTCTTGAGCTTCTCAAGCCTGCCTTCAACTGGACATGCGCCTCCTGTAGTAGTCGTACTTACTCGAATTTGAAGGGCTCTTTGGACCTGCATCATGTTGCGCTTCCCTTACAGTAAGATCCGGACCCTGGACACCAAAGTGGAAACAGCACAGGACCCAATGCAGTGGGGCCGGACCCTCGTCCTACTCGAAATGCTTATACTTCATGTCGAAAACAAAAGTCCTTGTGAACATGCCTCATGCTGACCAGTATCGGGAATCAAGTCTCTTCCTATCAGGAATCAAGTCTTTGTCCATTCCAATCCCAGTATTGGGAACGCTGCGTCCCTTTACTAGTCTCCCTTTGTTGTGCAACCGTTTTTGGGGGGCAACGTCCAGACTTCACAGGCTCTCTTTGGGTTGATCAGATCGATCGGATCTCTTCTTTGCGCAAATACGATACAACACACACATATATATATATAAATACCCAGATGCTCCATGTATGCCGTATATGCCGATCAGTTGGGGGGGGGTCGGGGGCCAATGTAGGCATATATGGCATACATGGAGCGTCTGGGATATAGCGTCTACAGTGCATAGAAAGGGTGTTCAAGACTGTACATCCCCTTACATCCCACACACGTCTACTGTGGCCCTTTACATCCCTTTACTCTTCCGGGTCGCAAAAAGCAAGTCTTCACTTCCGCGTCAGAATCTGACTGCTCCTTCCAAGGCCGGAAATCCGGCATGCTAGGACGGGCCTGACTGAGTCATCCGTGTTTTCAAAGACGTTTTCTCAGACGGGAGATTTTTGGGAAAGATCCGTGTCACCCAGGAGCAAACCACTTGTTTGGTGTGAGCCAAGGAGTCCCAGAGGTGATCGGGAAATCGTCAATGGTGCACATCAAAGCAGGTCCTGTTTCGGACCGATCTTTGCACTAAGATCGCAGACACTTCCGCCAGACCCCCGCTCCAGGACAATTGCCGCAAACTTGAACTCAGACTAGTCAGCGAAAGAACCTATATATATGGATTCGCACTGCGAGGGAAAAAGGCAGGTCCAGCTGCGCCTTGAACGGCAGAGCATGGGCACATGAGGAAGATGTATGAAACATCCTTGTCAGTTGTCGTCAGTCATTGTCATCCTTTCCTACCAAAAAAATGCTAAGCCGCTAGGCTGCTACTGTTGGACCAGTTTTAGAGCTTTTGATTAACAAATGTCAAGTGCTTGTTTGGTGCACTTGCTTTAGCTTGTGCTCTCCCATCAGACAGCAGACGTGGTCCAGATGGCAGACTGGGATGTCCGTTGGCACAAACAAGTTGACCCGGCTTGACCTGGCAACTGGTTTGAACAAATCGTGGAAAAAAACCTATAGCCTATACTTGCTACACTAACTCATATGCTCAGAAACTCCAAGAAAGGCTACTATGGACTCCAGAGAAAAAGTGGCCTTGGATGCCTAGGCTGAGCTTGTTTATGCCCTACACCTACCAGCCTCCCCAGCGGTGCGTTGGGAAGCAGGGCAGCACCGTTGTTGGCAAGATTGAAAGACTTTGAAAGCTACATTAAGGTTCATTCTATGAGATGCTGAGAAATGTACTAAATGCACTTCATCTATTCTAAATGCATGGAATATTATTGTTTAACTACATTTCAATCAGGATTGTTGATTGTTGAAAAATGGGAAGACATTGGATCAATGGTTCTTTCAGGTAGAAGTGGCTTGTTGAAAGGCAGCGAATCGGTTCTCCAACCGAACGAACCGACGCTCGGACGACCCAAACACGACGCGAAAAGAGTCCGTCTAACTCATGTATGTCCTTCATCCCATTCGGATAATTACTATTTTCATATATAAAGTGTGCATCGTCGTATATGGCTTGGTTCCTGACCTTTAGACCTTGGACCATCGAACTTCGTGTCCAAACGCATCGAACGTGTCACCCCAAACACCTCCGTCGATCCATTCCGCACCCGACTCGCCAGGATCTGCTCCTGGGACAGCTGCGAAGCGCTTGGGGCGCTCAGTGCATGGCGCGGCGGCCGGTCCGCACTGGAAGGACGGTTTGGGGCCAAGGGGTCCTTGGACACCTGCATCAAATATCAAAGCACATCAAAGCTGAAAAACTCAGTTCAGGATCAAGTAAAAAAAACACTAAGATGTCTCGAAAGCCGTCGAAACGAGTTCACGGAAGGACGCAGACACCAGAGTATCCCAGTTGTTGACCTGATGGTTTGAACGGCGTCTATCTTGCCCCACTTCTCAGGTCCCCCCGGAGGGCCCGCCAGACCATCCTCCAAGTCGTAACTCTATCTCTCCTGGGCCCTCCCCCATTCCCCATCGAACATGACTCGAGGCACAGCAGCCAGATGAGCGCTTCTTCCAATCGCTCTTCGCTGGGGACCTCATCGCCAGACGAGTCTCACGCAACACGTCATGCCGCCACGCCCCGTGCGGTGCGTGGAGTTGCGAGCGGTGCGTGGCGTGGCGTTGTACCAAGCAGACCGAGCGATTCTTGCTGGTTGTACTGTGTTGTACTGCTGGTCTCACATGTCCACAAAAGCCCGAGGAGCCACTCGGAGCCACGATCCGTAAGCTCGTGGATTTCGGAAAATGCTGGAAGGTTGGAACAAAAGTCCAAAGCCATCTCGAAGTCAAGGAGGTTTGTATCTTTGACGATCATCTCTCCCTCCACAGACCCCCACCCCCAGAACACATTTCCTACGCAGCCGGCAGAGGCGATGCCTGAGCGTTATGGGGGCGGCTTGGGCTCATTGGGCCGCTACTCACGGGTTCTGGGAACCTTCCATGTGAGGGGCCTCAGTCACTAGACTCGGCCAAGGGCCGGCTCAGGAGGATGTCATAGGCCATAGGATCAAAGGTGTAGGTCTCTAGTCTCCAGTGGCGGGAGGTGGTTTTCTCAGGGAACAGAGCACACCGTTTTCTCCGAGACAAGCTCGGTTCAACACTTTAGTTGGCCTGAGGAGATCGCAAGAGAAAAGCCCCGGGATCCAACGTACAAGATTTGCTCCAAAAGAATCATGGAGGCTTGAACTTTGGAGAAGGTTTAGGCCCAAAGTTTCGGCACACACATTGCTGGTCTGTCGTACTGGTGGGTCGCTGGAGCCAGCTTCGGCCCGTCACGCGGTGGTCTTCGGGCCGAAAGCCTGGACCGACGTGGTGCCACGCGAAGCCCACGCGGAGAAGCCCAGGTGTGGGATGTTGATCGCTGGGCAGCTCAACTTGGGGAAGTTACACACTTGATGGTGGGGCCTCCAACGTGACTTTTCAGGTTGGATGGATCGAAAATGGATCGAATCGAACTTGCAACATGCTATTTAGACAAGACACGAATGAGTTGGAGTCACCCAATTAAGAAGGCATGTTGGTGCATGTTTGGGTGCCCTGTGTTGAGGTATGCCTCAAATATCCAAATGTATTCTAATGTCTAGTCTAATGTACTTATTGTTTGACTATTTTGTATTCCGGCCACAGACCCGCCAATGTGCTAGACATGCCAGCAGCTACGTGGTGGTCATCCGCCGCTGATGCTCATGGTTCATCAGCCTTCAACACCCGATGAGCTGCAGTTGTTCTTTGTGAGCAAAACAAGTTTGTTAAAATGCTCAACCCTCTAAAATCACCAGGACCTTGGGTACGCCAAGACGGTGGAAAGCTTGTAAATCTAACCGCTGGAGGTCCAAGGTCCAAACTGGACCGTGAGTCTGTGTTTGTGAGATCGCTTTTGACAAGAACTCAAACTGATCGAGCGAAGTAGCTGTTCGGATGGCGTCACTCCTGCAAGGACTCACCCCATGGTTCATCAAAGCAATTTGATAGTGATTTGCTTCGTCTGGGGTGTTTACTATCTATCTATCTATCTATCTATCCATCGATCTATCTATCTATCTATCTATCTATCTATCTATCTATCTATCCTACTAATACTACCTGATATTGAAGCCCCCCCGAAAACATCCATGGTCCATGCATGAAGCCCATGCCTGTTGAGAAGAGATGTTCAAGCCCATGTTCAAATTCACACCCAACATGATGTGGTGATCAAAGTCATGTGAACCACATCCGTGGGCAAGGGAAATCGGCATAACAACAGTGTGAAACCTGCGCAAGGACCCGCAAGGACTTAGTCCTTGTCTTGTTCCTCACCCTTCTTAACTTCCCAGGTGGAAATTCATGTCCACTCGACGAATCGAGGCCTTGATCCTGGAGATGCCTTGCAAAGCTCCGGTGTCCCGGTTGGGAGGCCGAGGGAGCGCTTTTGGCGGATGTTGGTGGGGGCCTTTCGTTCTTTGCAGAGAATGGAACCTCCGTGGTTTCAAAACAACTCAAACATCTCGTTGCCGTCTCTGGGGGTCCGCGTTGTGTCCGCTCCGGTCTCACTGGTCGTCCCCCCACCTCCGGTCGACCACCGCGGACGGACGGTCTGCGGAACATCCGGTCGTTACAAGCGACGTGGGTGTTCACCATGGGTACCTACCGGTTTGACCCACCTGCATCCGCGTTCAAAACTGTGGTGTCCATCATGTCACTCATAGCCGTCATTGAGTGCTCTCACCCAATTCACAATTCCATGCAGGATCTATCAACGTCAAACGAGGAGGCTTAGTTTACATTGTCAATTGTAGACAACACCCATAGCTTTCCGTGTGCCCAATTCGCATTGTAGGAGCTTGCATACCATCGATACATATCGATACCATTTGCCAGGGATGTACTATCTCTGAACCTTCCTGTTTGACACACGGTGCAACTGGGAGAATATCCCTTCTCCAGATACTCGTATATACTATCTTTGAACCTTCCAAGGTTCTAACCGTGAGGTCTTGCTGTGAGAGGACATCTTCTCACACGACCGAGGTTCAGATCTACTCCCCGCCGCTGCTCCGTGACGCACGGCGCAACTTCAGCAGCTTGATGAAGGCACTGAGGGACTCGGGAGCTTCAGCAGCTGTGGCACCCGAGATCAGCAGAGATCAGCCGAGATCAACATATCCCCCAGTAATTACCATGGTTTCAAGGTAGATGGCACAGACCCCAAGTTTGGTGGTTTATATGGACCCTATTTTAAAAAGAATTGGAGGGTTGTGCCATCTACTCTGAAACCACTGTAATGCAGAATAGTTGCCAACCCTCCAGCAAATCCACGCCCTCCACAAGCCATGTAACCTGAGATTCACCTCTCGATTTACTGGGGATAAGCAACGTGAGTGCATGGCGAATGGATGTTGACCTGATCCTCCGCTCCAGCTCGTCCAGCATCTGCTCTAGTTCATGGAGAGTGCTTTGCACATACAGCAGAAGATGCCAGCAGATCCAAACGATACATAGATATACATAGTACGTATATTAGTTCATTCACATAGCTGTAGTACCAAAGAATATTGAGACATAGTGTAGTTCATTGGACCGACGATTCCGTTCTTTTTCGCATTTATGTCCATCATCCCCAGATCTCGGGCATGAAGCAGGTGGGTTCTGCCGCCGCGCTTCGCTCCAAAGCGCAGGCCACCCAAAGCTCCCCGTCCAGTCACTTTGCCAGGCAGGGCGGATGGAGACACCGATGGAACTTTCGAAACCAAAAGCGATCAGGATGGAGACACCGAAAACCTGGAAATCAGGATGATAAATTGAAATGATACCCCAGTGATATCAAACAATAAATATACATTATAGACAATAATATATGTTTTGGGATTCTCAGTAAATGCATAGCAAGAGTATCTATGAGATTCTATGGGTATTTTAATGCGAGATTGTTTGTACTACGACGACAGAGACCTTCTTGGTCGCCAATATGTTAGAAGGAGACAGAGTTTGTGCTCATTTCAGAGGCAAACGGAAGGGTAGTGCACAGAAAGGGTTTTGCAAAAACCTATTCTACTAACATCGTGGAAGGCGCGGGACATTCGTAGAACCCGGGGCTATTCGTGGACATTTCGTGCAAGGGTGGGCCAGTAGGAGAACAAAATCCATCAAAATCCCAGAAACCTTCGCTGAACTTCGTTGAAGGTATTTTTGCTGACCCCTCCTTTCAAGATCGGCAATGATGCTCAGCTGATGTTCATTCCCTTCTTCTGTTTTCAACTATCTTCAACTCAAGTTTGGATCGATTGAACAACTCCTAAGTAAATCTACTGATTAGACTAGCTGGATACCATGAACAGTGCCTAATGTTTGTTGAATTCAAGTCTGGATCCTGAGACTCTTTCAGCCTTTTCGCCGCTATGACTCGGAACCCAGATGACCCAGATGACTCAATCCCATTGATGCATCCATGGTCGGCGGGGGGGCCCGGTGGAAACGTCCAAACCCCCGCCGACCTGAACCAACCTGAGTTTCAGCGAACGAAAACCGGTCTTTCCGCCGGACCGGGCCAGGAAATTTGATGCCCAGCGGACCTGGCCCTTGCAACGGCGCTTGGATGTGGCAGCGCTGGCAGAAGGACCTGCACAAGGTGCGCGCGAGGACGGCTGGCAGGACGGCGCAGGACGGCGGTAAGTGGGACCTGGATTCATGAGGCGAATTGGCTTGAAATATGTGGCTGATGGGCAGTGGCCAGTCCATCTTGGACCAGATACCCTGGAGTCACTAGAGGTGGAATCGTTGGAACTTGTTCAAGTGTTTTTGCCCCCTGTGCAACTGGTGGGAGCAAAAACAGCGCTCGAATATAACTTGGCCGAGTGTGACACTCTTGCTCGAGGTTGTCAAGGCTTCACAATGTCTCAGCCAAGGATGAGAATCTTAGTCGGATTCCCACTGACAGTGCGTGATGGACAAATTTCCTCAGAGGCTGTGTGACGTGTGAACTGAGTTTTGAGAATGGAGGTTGTCCTTGCAGCGTACCGAGTGCGCCATGCGGTCATCAAAACTCTACGCCCACAGTGGTCATCTACTCTACGCGCCTTGTAAAGTAGTTCCCTTGCGCTTCGGGCAACAGCAAGCATGGGCAGGGCCACACACGCTTGACCATGTCAGGGTGTTCATTCTTCTTGTGAAGATGCTTGGACTCAGTTGCAGATTGTACCAGGCTCAGGCTGAATCTCCAATGGAGTGCTTGCATTCCAATCATGTGAAAGTTACGATAGTGGCTGTGCAATTAATGTGGAAGGGCCAGGGAAAGCCTCCACTGAAGCACAGTTGGATTTGCCCAGGACGAGATTCTTAGTCGGATTCCCACTGAGGATGAGTGATGCAGAATCATCATAAAATCCGAGGCGTTTACCAGGGTACATCAGTCGTTGTCCTGACCAAACAATGTGGTATAAGTTGGGGTTTTACTGTACCTGTATTATCAGTATGTTTGAGCCTTTACTAACCATCATCATCCACTGTTACTGGTAATAGGATACACCCAACCAAGGTATAAGTTTGATGGTCATTTATTCGCACCAGTTATACAGCAGACTGTGGTCAATGCACGTTCTTTGCTCTTGACACAGCTCGTTGATTTTCTTCGTGCTGAACAGGGCCTCAGCGAACAGGGCCGAGCAAGCACACATGATTCAACAGTCTCGGATTGCCTGGCTTGAAAGCAAATCAAGTCCTTCGTAAGTTGGAGCGCAGCCAATGATGAGAACCTCAGTCGGATTCCCACTGAAATGCTCAAATGTTGTAGAGAAACTGCAGAGGCTGAATGCAAAGTAGAACCTGCTTGCCATGGTAGAAGGCATTTGGCACTAGCCCAGGACGAGAGTCTTAGTCGGATTCCCACTGAGTTGAGTGATGGAAAGCATTACGAGGCAGAGGCTTCATGTTGAGTGAAGTATAACGTGAAGTCGGTTGTAGTTGAACGCGTTGAACGCGTTGAACGCGTGACCGCTGCTAACGTATGACACCACGAATCAATGGAACATTGTCACCCGCTTTGCGGTTGCAAGGCCAAGACAGGGTTCTTGGCCGTAACCGTCAACGAACAGACCATGATGAATTTGGTTTGGATTCCCACTATATAAGTATGCTGCTTGGTGGACAATCTTCAGAACAGCCGAGGCTGTTTGAACAGGTCCGCTAAAGGCCTATGACTCTGACCTAGGACTATCATGTTCAAATGTTCCGATATCGAGTGAGCATGTACGACAGTGGAGTTTAGTCATTGCCGCCGAAGAGATGTTTTCTGATTCCCCTGCTGAGCAATGATGCCTGTTGAGAAGGATCAGAGACATTTGTGAGTCCAAAGCAAAAGTCAGTTTTATGTGCACTATATGCTTTTCAGGTTTTTGGCCTGTGAAGAGACTTTCTCGGATTCCCCTGCTGAGCAGTGATGGATACCGCTTGAGAAGGAGCAGAGGCTTTATGCGTTTGTTTTTGTTTCAGCACGAATTGGTCGGAAAAATATTGGATGCATGATGATGCATGAACGTTCTGTCGGCACGTTGCTTGATTGCTGGGGAATGTTTTAGTGGAGAAAGAGCAAAGACCGTTGAATCTTCAAGTTGCTGCGGACCTTGAGTGGGCCTCTAATTAAGCTTTCCCCCGCTTTCCGTCATGGGCTTCTGCTTACATATGACTGAAAATTGAAAACAATGAGGCGCTTCGGCTTCAGCTTCAGGCTTCTGATTGCTTTTCCTTGCATTTCCCCTGCAAGTGACTTATCATGAAGCATTTTATAAACATCGACACTTTTGTCATCACCATGTTTGCTGCAAGGCCTTGCCTGCAGCTTGCCTGCTGGTGGTGGCCAGCACCTCAGCCACTTGGAGACTGCCATGAGATCTCAAAGCATGACCTGCATTTTGCAATGCCATGTTATTGTCACCTCATACAATAATATAGAAATTGCAGGCATGCACACTGACTCTAGGTGCTGAGATGTGCTATACCTGATGCTGCACCCAGCCTGTCCACCCTAACCTTAAAACCATCTGTGAGGGGATGCTGCTGCTTTTGGGCACTCAGCAGCAGAGCAGCAGCCATGGAAACCATATATGATCTCCAGCAAAAACGATATATGAGGTGTGATGATGCAAAATAAAATAAAAAGCAATGCGCTGCTTGCTCGCGTGAACTGAATTCGCCCGCTTGACCTCAGCCATGATGGAGGATCCTGTGACTCGCTTATCAATCTTCAAATTCAGGTACTCAATGCCTGCTTTCCCAGGAGAGGATTTGTGCGAATGGGTGCTTCCAGAGCATGCCGCAAGAATGTATAGTTCTGCAAAGCCGCAACAAAAAACATAAAACATGCATTTTGTGCTTTGGCTCACCCCAGGCATCACTATCCGTATGTGTCTCAGGTAGGATTTAGTTATATAATATAGTCGTTGCGTCGCTCAACGGTGGTGGCAACAGCATGCCTCAGAAGCAGGCTTAGAAAGAAATAAGAAATCGTTACATGTCCTCTCAGCCACTTTGGCTTAATCGCTTCCGTTGGATCCATGGCTTGGACAGCGAGCTAATCAGCCTTAGAGTTGAATGTCCCATAATGTCCCATTGTGCAGCTTGTGGTTTGTTTGGGACAAAGATGCACAAACCTTCGAACACCGGGAGATACCTGGACATGTGGCGCACCCAAAGTGGTGTCAGCAAGCTAGACTTTATAGTCGATCAGCTGTGTTTTGTCACTGTTCCTCTTCGTTTTATAGGGTGAGTGTGGGTCAGGGCGTGATGTTTTTATCTGCACCTTGTAGGTTGAACCCCTCGATGTACAAGCAGGTTGCACACGAGGTTCGAAACACCGAACCGTGTTGAGGGTCACACCCCCCAAAGTATAGCTATAAAGCCTGGAGTGGGACCTACTCCCCCTTTTTGGAACATAGATCTATATCCAACAAGAGTCATACTCCTGTAGCATGTGCATAGGCGCGGGAAGGGTCTTGATGCCTAGGTGTTTTCGAATGTTTTTTTCGATATCATCCTTCCTGTGAAGAGACGTTCTCGGATTCCCCTGCTGAACAGTGATGGATACCACTTGAGAAAGATCAGAGGAACTGTGGAGCTTGGCTGTTGCGCACGATGGCGGGCAAGTGTTGAATGCAAAAAGATTTTGTGAGTGTTTTTCTTGATTGTTGTACACCCTAGCCGGTGAAGACTCTTTCTCGGATTCCCCTGCTGAGCAGTGAAGGATATCGCTTGAGAAGTAACAGGGGCCTTCTGCGTCAGTTTTTGTTTCAGCACGCATTGGCGCATTGGTCAGAAAAATATTTGATGCATGATGATGCATGAACATTCTGTCGGCACGTTGTGTCATTGCTGGGCAAAGCTTTAGTGGAGGAAGAACTCTACATTTGAATCTTCAAGCCTATATCCAACAAAAATCATACTCTTGCAGCG